TCCTGTCCAATGAGTTTTCCGAGGTTTTTTGGGCTACATGCTCGTCTCATGACTTTACTGCCTCTGCATGTACTAGATTAATTTATACAGTATAATAAAACATTCAAAAAGGAAGCTATTTCAGGTCCTTGCTGGAATTATACAATTTCCCTCCCACGCGTCGCTTCAACCCTCCATTGCCGCAAGACCAGCTGATGTCGTTCTACATATCGAGCTGTAAACTTGTAAGCTTTTAAAGGTCTTGTTCATGCTACTAAAGAGTGATTTATGAGAAGGATTGTCGGGCTGCATAAAGGCGTAGGTATGTTGTATGTTGAACAGTTTTTTCTCAGAAACGAGGAGCACGGTGGTGTTCATCATCTCTCAGTTGTTATTAGCAGTGGTATATTTTATTAATTATCACGCTTACCCTAAAATACCCATTGTGCGGCGGACTCATGATCGTGCGAACTTGAATTTTCCAAAACCAAAGATGTAGTCTGGCATCGTTATCGAAAAAAGGGCAAATTGAGGTGGCTCGTCAACATTGGTTGGTCGTGTTAAGCTTAGATAGCAAAGTTCATGATGGTGCAGAGGGTTTACTCCACATGATCCCTATTATAATCTGACCCCCTAAAGATAAAAAACTCTAATCTTTTGGTTTTCTTAATGCTTTTTGCGAGAGCTCACACATATGTGAGCCTGGGTTTCATACTGACAGGAATTCGTTTAAGTGATAGGCATTTTATTCCGGAAACATGGTTATGCGTGGAGGTACTGCTATAATAGAAAAAACGGAAAGTGGGTTCGGAAATTGGTCAAGACGTTTCGCAGATCCTATATTTGGTGGAATACCGTTCAGGGCTTACATGGATAGCTGACCCTTCCGCGATAACCTGGATGGATCGTATAATTCTCTGATTAAATGTTGTTAAACTAAGTTCGGTTTTAAGCAATCAAGGTGCTCATTTACTATCCCTTCTTGTGCTCTCATGTTTTGGTCACCATTTATATATACACGACTTCAAATCTAATTTTAAGGTTTGTGCTTCGTACCATATGGTGTCGAAACAAACTGCTCCTCAAGGACTGTCGATTACTGTATCTGAATGTCAGTTAGCTTATTTGGAAGAAGTACTGCAGCAGTTAGATAACGCCCTAGCACATCTA